TAATCTGAAGACTGAAAGAGATTTACTGAGTGAAGAATCTCTAATGTTTAAGATTATCTAATAACTAATATTTAATATTATCTGTAAGAGTAAGAGTTCTCTTATACTTTGAAGAATGATCTTACTACATTTGAGTGTGAGAGCTGTAGAACATGAAATACAATCTTATTCTTGAACTTAATTGATTTTAAAGATTCAATCTGCAGATTCAATGATGTACATGTTATATACAGTTAACTGATAGAAAGAAAATAATTCATACAATTCTATCAACTGATATAAGAAGAACATTTCACATCTCTGATATAGAAGAATTAAATCTGCTTACATACTAATAAGTAAAGAGAATGATTTATAAGACCTCATCTAAAAGCATTCTGTATGTTATACAGGACTCAGAAGTGAAGAAAATCAAGATAAAGAATATACAGAAGAATAAGTGTATAAAGAAGCTTCTGAAGAAGTATAAGAAGATCTTCTGAACAGATCTTTCACTGAAATTATCACTGAAATGAGAATTTGTACATGAGATTGACACAGAGAATGTGAAATCAGTCAATCAGAATGTGTACTCTCTGTCACAAACATATCTTAAAGAACAGAAGTGTCAGATCACAGACCTTCTAGAATATAGTCTTATATAATTCTCATCAAGTGCGTGAGGCTTCTCAGTTCTATTTATAAAAAAGACAGATGAGAAGTGATGAATGTGTATTGATTATTAAGTACTTAATAAGCTTATAATCAAGAATAAATATTTACTGCTATAAATTCAACAACAGTTGAATATGATTGAAAATACCTAATATCTATTAAAGATTGATCTTCTTTCAGAATACTGATAGATCTGTGTGACAGTGTGAGTGAACTATCAGTTTCATAAACTGTGTTTAATATATAATGAGAAAAGTTTGAATTCCTGACAATGTTATTCAGTCTGATAAATATACCTGTTATCTTTCAAATGATGATGAATATAATTCTTTATAAATAGAATAAAATCTCATATCTTATATATCTTGATGATATTCTAGTCTTTTCAAACTTATATAATAAACATCTGAAGTATCTTAATAAAGTGCTTACAACTCTGACAGAGTATAAGCTCTATATCAAATCAACAAAGTGTGTGTTTAAAATGAAAGAGTTGAAGTTTATAGAATATGTAGTGAGTAATAACTATATATATCTCATTCTGAAGAAATTGAATGTTATAGTGAATTGATCACAGCTGAGAAATATATATCATGTATAACAGTTTCCTGAATTGATCTTATATTACTGCAGATTCATCAAGGATTTTACATGAATATCTGTATTACTTAGACTGACCGCCGGAACTATGAATTTCACGTTTAATCTTATTTGATCTGATCTCATACATTTCTTGATGTGAATTCCGCTGAGATTAATCATTAAACAAACATGTAAAGTAACTATATATCAGATCTCAAAATGAAATCATGACTTGAAAAAAATGAGAAAGTGATTTCATTTGATTTCATTTAGTCTCATTCTTGGCATAAAGTTACTATTTTTAGACATTTTAAGGTTTTTTTTAGACTATTTTTAATTTTTTAAAAAGTAATGCTTTTTGATAACACTCAAATGAGATTTAAAGTCATTTAAAGCAATAAAAATAATTTAAATTGAGAAGTGAAAATCATGATCTCATTTGAAAAATGTGACAAGAGTAGACAGTAAGTCTCACTGAAACAGTATGAGACTACTATCTAATGTTAGAACTAGACTGGCCGCCGGGACCATGAATTTCACATTTGATCCCATTTGATCTGGTCTCATACATTTCTTAGCGTGAGTCTCACCAGAATCAAGCCTCAAAAAAATCTGAAAATGGACCATTTCTGAGAGAAATGGTGTGAAAAATGACCAGATTTAATTCAAGAACAGTGAAATGAAAGTAATTTTCCAGGATAAACTGTGAAAGATAATCATTCTTTCAAAATCAGAATGAGACTGAGACTGAAGGTCAAAATCAGTCTCATTTAATTCATTCAGTGATTGCTTATATAATCAGAATTTGATAACAATTATTAATAACACTCATGAAACAACTAAATACATTCTTGTGTAAGTTTATTCTTCACTTTCTCATGAAAACTACACTTCTCTGATATACTGTGATTAGAGATATTAAACTGTCTGATAATTCCATGTTTTACAATCATGAGTTTCTTGATTATTTCTCCTTGTAATTGTCTCTGATGATAGTGATAAATATCTCAACTTGAGTTAAACTTTCACTTCATTCTCACCTCTGTCAATGAAATTATCAGAATATCATGTGTCATCAGTGCAATAGTTGAATATATACTCTCAACAATTTTCTATAACTCTAGAATTGATTTAGTGTGTAAATTCATTGAATCATCTTGAAGATAGCAGTCAAATTCAGTTTTACAAGTATGTAGTTTTGTCTGATTCTCAGTTGTAATCAATGTATGCAAGTTCTGTTTCAAAGTTAGTATTATAGTTCTATGTGATATGAAGTGTTATCAAAGATTGTTACTTACTAGGGAATTGTATTTCACTGTCTTCACATCTTAAATATCTGCTCATTCAAATCTCTGATAGTTGGCATTGTAGTAGTCTCAGGCTAATTTGATATATGAGTCTCATTTCTCCTCTGTTCAATCTTGAGAAGTGTAGATGTTAACTTAATGAGAGGAATCTAGTAGAGCTGCCACAGCATAGTACTCTGCAAAAGATTGTTTCATTTTGCTGTAGTAATATGCCAGTTTATCTCTTACAGTAACAATAGCCTGCACTATAGTATTATCTCAGACTGAATTTCTTTTTGAGTGATTCAACTGCTTCTCAAGATGAGTAAATAAACTGTTATACACTCACCAGGCTGACTGCAGCATTGATGTACAAGTGATTGAGACTGTCTTTGTTGTCTTATAAAACTGAAACAGTAAATCAATCACATATTTCAACTGAGTTCACTTCATATCAGAAAGTTTCAATATCTGAATCTTTTCTCAATCAGAGTGTTGCACTCAATGATTAATCACCTGACATAATTGAAGAGTCTGAATAGTTATCTTATATGTTGAACTTCACTGTGTTCTAACATTCTGTATCATATTCAGTGATGTGACTGATTTGTTTGTTTGTTGAATATCATGAAATCATTGTTATTGTTTAGAAGAGGTACAAATTGCATTAGCAATGTTTCAAATCTATGATATTTAAATTATTAGTCAATCTATTCAAAATTAACAGTAGTGTTATCAAAAAGTGTTATCAAAAAGCAATATTAAAAAGTGTTATCAAAAAATATTATCTTTTGCAAAGTGAATGCAAAAGTTACTTGAGTAATCACTTTCATCTCATTCTCATCTCAAGAATCAGTCATCTCATTATTCTTCATCTCAATGTTAAGATTCTTTATCAGTGTTTACATCACAAGTTGAATCATATAAGCAATGCAGAGAATATGACCTTGTTTATCATTTCAGAAATGCAAAGCCAATTTTTGCTTCAAGCTCTTCATCATAGTGTAGTTATTCACAGCATTATCAGTTGTAATTGTAAGAAGACTGAGACTAATATCTCAATAGTCATTTTTAATCACAGTTATTAATACCTCTGTCATATAATCCTCAGTATGACTACTGATCAATGATTCAAATTCAATTAATGTCTCTTGATAAGTTCAGTTCTCATCAATGTAATAACATGTAACTCTCATAAATGCAAGATTGTTTGTACTAGTTCATGCATTCACTGTGAGAGACACTCTTCAATGATTCTTCAACTCTGATTCTAGATGTTGCATATTGACTTTGTAGTGTGTCTCAAGGTTGAACTGAAGACAGAATCAATGTGGAATATGAAGATTTGAATTAAGCATTTGAAGAAGTGTTCAGAATTCGGGGTTTTCAATTGATTGAAGAGAAAGATTCAGAGATATACATATGTGAAGTAATTATTCACAGAAGTTATCAGATGAGAGTTGTGAAATCAGAGTACTGATACAGAGTTGTTTTTACATGATTTTCTTCAAATTAGAAAGTTAGCATTATCAAAAATTATTACCTGATAGAGTAACTTACCAGCTCAGTAGTAATTTTCTGATTATTTTTCTTTTATTGTCTGCATTCTGATGACTTTAGATGTCAGAAAATTTCTTCAGAGTCATGATCAGTTCATGATAAATGTTTCTGAATAAAGTTACAGTGATTGTAGCAGAGAGATGACTCTTCAGTAATCTGCAATGCAATCTGTTAATAATTATTTCATAGTTCATCTCAATGTTTGTGTTGAGTTTTTCATAAATTTCATGACCTGGAATCAGATGTGAAGAATGAAGTAATCATCTATCATGATTGAAAGAGAGCATTCTGTGTTGAATTGTAAACAATATAGACTTTGTGATTCACAGTGATTTCTTGAAGAGTTTATGAATCTTCAATAGAAGTAAAAGAAGTGAAAGAAGTGAATTCAGAAGACATAATAATAATTTAAGAAAGATAATAATTTATTTTCAATAACTGATCACTGATATGTGTAAGAAGAATTAATATAAGAGAAAATAATCTTGTTTCTTAGCTTAGTTATAATTTTAGTACTAACTCAGATTGAATATTATCAATGTATAAAAGTAAATAAACAATCTTGATTAATCTCTGTCATATTTCTTGAAATATATTAATATTATGAAAGAGAGTGTTACTAAATTGTGTTATCAGATGATATTATTAAAAATATATTAATATTATGAATATCAATGTTGAAAAAATGTTGATACTTATACATTATAGTGATTTGTGAATCATGATAGTTAAATATATATATATATATATATATTTTTCCTGACTTGATTACAACTTGTACAATAATTTTTAAAAACTCAAAATTAATTTCAATTATTAATAATTATGAACTTATAACTAACTAATATAAAAAGAAAAAAACTTTTTCTACTCATCATCTTTCTTCTCTTTCTCATTCTTCTTATCATTCTTCATAATTCACTTCTTATTCTTCTTCTTCTTCTTCTTCTCCTCATCTGAGATGATAATCATCTCAAAATCTCTCTTCACTGCCTTCTCAGAGAAGAGTTCCTGCTGCTTTCTCTCAGTCAGGTCAACCTGCACCTCAAAATCCCGCATTTCCTGATCTGCTGTCTCAGGTTCCACCTCAGTGACAAGTAGATTGATATGCTCAGAGAGCAGGGCTGTCTTCTCAATATTCTGAATCATGAAGTGTATTTGAGATCTGAACAAGACCTCAATCCTCTTCTTCTCTGTCAGCTTCTGCTAATCAATTAGAGAACAGAAGTATTATCAAAAATTGTTATCTCTCAATAAATAAAAAACTTACCAGTTTTGACTTCTTTATCTTCTACTTCAATATTCTCTTAATCTTCTTCTATCACTACTTATTTACAGCAACACTCTTCTTCTCTCTCTCTCTCTTTATCTTAATCTTAAATTATTCTTGAGACTTCTTCTGATCTCATCACTGCTGTATGAGACTCTTCACTGTCTTCTTCTTCAATCTCTTACAGATGATGCTATCTGCATTATTTCTATACTTAGTTCAGTCTAAATCTATCAGAAGTATTACTTAAAATTGTTATCATTCTACTCTCTTACAGAGCCTTTTCAAGATATTATAATGTGTCTTACAATCTGTCTTCTCTTGCTTGAACACCTTCTTCTTCTCTCTCTTCAATCTGTGACAGCGCTCATGCGCCTTGATGGTCCGCAGAACTGCAGAATATTTGAAGAGGAATGACATGATTGATTTCGGTGAGTATTGAAGAGAGGTGAAGGCAGAAGAGACAGTCAGAAATGATATGATAATAGTGATGATGATGATAATAATGATAATGATAATAATGATGATAATAATGATGATGATAGTGATGATAATAATGATGATGATGATGATAATGATAATGATAATAATAATAATGATGAAAGAGAGAGTGCATTGAAATATATTACTGACTTATCAAATATAAAGAGACTCAAAGAAAATATTAACAGCTTTCAGCAATGTACAGAAACAGCTACAGTATTGTATAGCAACATCATCTTCATTCAATACATACACTGTCAATATTCTTTGTATACAGTTATCATATAATCTGTATCAGAGATACATGCAGAAAACAGATCTTTGTTACTAGGACAAATGATTGCAGCAATTCTCTATTTTCATATTATAAAGATAAGTTATTCTCATTTCTTTCTTCTCTCTTTTCTCTTATTCAATCAATCACTAATTCTAAGCTGGTATGAAAACTATTAAAACACTCTCAGAAATTCTCAAATTGAAGAGTATAGACTAATCAAATTTCAAATGCAGAAGAAATCAAATTATCTCCTATCTTCTACAGATTCAATTACTCATTCTCTCTTAAATAAAACAGCAGTTGTGTCCCCCCTTCTTCCCTCCCAATCAAATGAAACATGGCCTGTGAAAAGTGAGTACCACGCCAGGCCATAATGATCAACACAGCCTCAGCACACAGGGCTGCATATGCGCAGCATGTGCTGAACTGAGAGACTGTGTGAGTTGCAAACCAGCAGCAGCATCTCAGGGAGAGCTGTGCAGTGTGAGAAAGCTGCAACTCTCAGTCACATGTGCAGAGAGTGAATCATCACAGTAAGTGCATGTGCATTGAAGTAATGCTTTTTGATAACACTCAGTCTCTGATATGATGAAAATAGAGTCTCTTCATGAGATCTGTTTCTATCAGAAGTCTGAGAATCTTATATTCTTCAAGATCATCTTCACATGTCTTGTCTGTGAAATCAATGAGAAGAATTATCAATTTCAGCATTCTGTTCTTAATGCTATTCAAGTGACAGCAGAGTTCACCCTGGCTACACTTTTTAAGTGTATATTTTCTAATTATTCATATTTATATAGATATATACTGATTATTTATTAGATGATATTAAGACAATAACTCATTACAGCTGTGTTACTCTCACTGTGAGAAATACACAGTTGATGATGAATATTATGAAGACTCTGAGAAGTAAGTATTTTGAGAATACTGCAGCTCTGTGACCTTGATTTTTTTTTATTTTTATTTTTTATTTTTTTCTTTTTCTTTTCTTTTTTTTTTTTAATTTTCTTTCTCTTTCTGTCTCTTTTTTTCTTTCTCTTCTTTTTTTCTTTCTCTTTTTTTGTTTTTTTTTTTTTTTTGTTTTGATTTTTTCTTGTTGTTTTGTTTTTTATTTTTTTATTATTTTTTGTATTGTACATTTTTTTTTTAATTAAAATGATATTGATTATAATCTGTGTTCAGAAAAGTAATGATATTTGATAACACTCTCTGTTGAATTTTCAATAAATGAGTACTATGTTATGATATTATGTAAGTGAGAAATGATTTCATGATCTCATTTGATGTTATTTTGAATAATGAAATCAGAATGAAAATGTGACTAAGAATTCAAACATATTCTTTATCTGAGACTAGATTTTTATTTGAAAAGTGAATCTGAGATCTTTAATATTTGAAATAACGGGATTTGGAATCAATGTAATGAACACAAATCATGACCAGAAGTAATGCTTTTAGGCAACATGACAACTGTAAAGTTTGATCCTGGTCTCAGACACGGTCACACGGTCAGTCTAGTTAGAACTGTGTAATGAGATCTGTCAAATTGATAATAAGACTATCAAAAATTCTGATCCTGGTCTCAGACACGGTCACATGATCAGTCTAGTATCACTCTCAGATCTCTTAAGAGAAATAGATGCAAATCTGTGAAAGAAGAAGTTTTGTTCAATTATCTGAAATACTGCATGTGAAGAGACTTTTCTCACACTGAGAAAATGTGTAATAACATTCTCAGTGCTTATTCAATCAGATCATGATAAATCTTTCTATATTAAGATGAATATATTTAAATGAGCTATCAGAGATGCTTTTTTACAGATGAGTAAGAATAGCAAGCTGCACTCAGTGATGTATAATGATAGAAAACTATCAGATATTAAGCTCAATTACTCAGTATATGAAAAGAAATTACTAGTGATCAAGTATACACTGATGTTATGAAATAGATATATTGATAATAAGTATATAATAACAGTGATTATAGATTATGAAAGTCTTGTCTATCTATAATCAATGATAAAATCTTTCAAACACTTAGCATGTTAAATCTTGAAGTTTTAAGTGTATAATCTTTATATTAAATACTGAAAGGAATTGAATACTGTGATATCTGATATAATCAGTTACAGACCTGATTTTATAAGTGAGAATTCTATGAATCAGATATAAGAGAAGTTCATATTAAATATACTGAGAGAGTGTAAGAAATCAGAATAAGTGAATATAATAATCTCTTACTTAGAGAATAGCAAAGTATCAGATAATAAGTAATTTATAAAAGTAGTAAAAGAGATACTTCTGAACTTTAAACTAAGAAAATTGAAAAATGATGTTATACTTTACTGTGATCTAGAATATGTGAAAGCTTTCTATCTAGAACATTCATTTAGACATGACTTAATAACTTATATGCACAAGAAATTCAGTCACTTAGAAAGCTCTGAACATATAAATGTACTTAAATCAAGAGTATACTGATTAAGCATGACTGAGAACATTCAGATATACACTTATAAGTGTCTGAATTATCAGATTGTGAAAGAATCTAAGAAAGAATTAGAATATAAGAAAGTGTAATATCAGATAAAGTATACAATACAATTATTTAAATGATGAGAGATGAATCTTATAGACATACTATTATGAATATTAAATGAAAATCAATGAATAATCACTGTTATTGATTATGCTACTGACTGATCAGTTGTGAAAGCAGTTTCAGAGATAATAGAGAAGATGATAATGAAGTTTCTATATAATAAGATCTATATTAACTATGAAATGCTGTGTGAGATTCTAACTGATAATGATGTAAATCTTGTAGAAGAAGTGATGAGGCATTTCATGAGCCAGTTACAGACAAGACATTGTAGAACAATATTATATCATTCACAGATAAACAGAAAGATGAAACACTTGAATAAAATCTTAAGCAACATGCTGATAAAATATCTAGTAAGTAAGCTGATGGGATTATGAGATAAATATCTCAGTCAGATACTATTAGCTACGCGAATTCAGCAGTATGCAGTCTTCAAGTGTTCATTATTCTATCTGTTGTATGAATTGCATTCACACATTCTGAAGAATGCTTCAGAAAAGATGAGAAAGAGAACAGTGATTACAGATATATCAGTTATGAATACAGTAGAAACAATAGTTGTGAATACAACAGTTATAAATACAGCAGTTGTGAATATGAAATCAAGATTGAAAGAGATCAGTCACATATGTATAAAAGCTAACAAGTTACTTCTGAATCAAGCAATTCAATCAAAAAGAATATGAGACTCACTAGTTAAGAAATTAAGTCTCAATGTGATTCAAAGGTTGCTTAAGCCAGCGTACGATTACAGGCGTACGCCGGCTTCTTATATATTGTAATATCATATGCTAATTTAATTAGTGGCCGCTATGGCCTCTTTACACTCATAAGTAGACTGGCTGCTGAGATCATGAATTTCACATTTGATCTCATTTGATCTGATCTCATACATTTCTTGGCGTGAGTCCCACCAGGACCAAGCCTCAAAAAAATCTGAAAATGAACCATTTCTGAGAGAAATGATGTGAAAAATGACCAGATTTAATTCAAGAACAGTGAAATGAGAGTAATTTTCCAGAATAAACTGTGAAAGATGATCATTCTTTTAAAATCAGAATGAGACTGAGACTGAAGATCAAAATCAGTCTCATTCAGTTTATTCAGTGATTACTTATATAATCAGAATTTAGTAATGATTATTGATAACACTCATGAAATAACTAAATACATTCTTATACAAGTTTATTCTTCACTTTCTTATGAAAACTACACTTCTCTGATATACTGTGATCAGAGGTATTAAACTGTCTGATAATTTTATATTTTACAATCATGAGTTTCTTAATTATTTCTCCTTGTAATTGTCCCTGATGATAGTGATAAATATCTCAACTTGAGTTAAACTTTCACTTCATTCTCACCCCTGTCAATGAAATTATCAGAATATCATGTGTCATCAGTGCAATAGTTGAATATATACTCTCAACAATTTTCTATAACTCTAGAATTGATTTGGTGTGTAAATTCATTGAATCATCTTGAAGATAGCAGTCAAATTCAGTTTTACAAGTATGTAGTTTTGTCTGATTTTCAGTTGTAATCAATGTATGCAAGTCCTGTTTTAAAGTTAGTATTATAGTTCTATGTGATATGAAGTGTTATCAAAGATTGTTACTTACTAGGGAATTGTATTTCACTGTCTTCACATCTTAAATATCTGCTCATTCAAATCTCTGATAGTTGGCATTGTAGTAGTCTCAGGCTAATTTGATATATGAGTCTCATTTCTCCTCTGTTCAATCTTGAGAAGTGTAGATATTAACTCAATGAGAGGAATCTAGTAGAGCTGCTACAGCATAGTACTCTGCAAAAGATTGTTTCATTTTGCTGTAGTAATATGCCAGTTTATCTCTTACAGTAACAATAGCCTGCACTATAGTATTATCTCAGACTGAATTTCTTTTTAAGTGATTCAACTGCTTCTCAAGATGAGTAAATAAACTGTTATACACTCATCAGACTGACTGCAGTATTGATATACAAGTGATTGAGACTGTCTTTGTTATCTTATAAAACTGAAACAGTAAATCAATTATATATTTCAACTGA